AGTGCTACCCCCCAGGTGCAGCTGAAGTGAGAGATGCAACCCCAACAGCGGCGATTGATTTTTACCATTTGCATAAATCTCCACTCACCAGATATTTGTATTCATCATTGACGATGGCGCCCAATTGCTGCAGTGTCCCCCCATTGATTCATCCTGACAGGTGGCATTAGGATAAATTTTGGACATACGATAGAGACTTCATGATACTGCGAGAGTATACAAATCCTTATAGGCTCTAACAAATGCAAGTCTGCAATACTAGTTACTGAGCTCAGCTTGATAACTCTTAACACTTTTCACAGGAACTAACAAATCATCCCATATAGCAATTACTCGTGTTTTGTACGAAAATAGGGGAAGGCACTAAAACGGTAAGGGGCTGTTCAATAGCAGGTGACCAATGGGGTGACGTGAGACGGAGAAGACTGGGGCTGTGTTGCCCTGTAAGATGTACCCACCTACAGGCTACTGGTGATATTCTTGCTCCCTTGGATTCTTAAGCTCATAGATTGTCGCAGTATCGTCTTAACAATTAACTAATTTGACTCGGACATATCTTAGACTTCGTGAAATAAGTTCAAGTTTATAGCCGCAAGAATGAGATGATATTCGCACTCACTCTCGGGCCTTTGAGGTCTAAACCATTTTGGCCATATAGATTACTCTACCCAGCATGGAAATAGTGCAGCATTTTGGACATCAGTGAATTCAAACATCACGATCGGATCTCAAATCGCTGAGACTGGCTTGAATATACTGTGTATCTATGTTCTAAACCAGTATTGCATCCATAACTATATATCGTCCCTCATGAAATTACCTCTATTTATTCCTCCGTGGCCCATTCGTGTACATTGTTAACGAGAATCGAACTAATAATAGACAAACCCCCCAAACTCCTTCAACATCGCATGATTACTCCATGTATTGAGAGCCCGAAGGCTCCTCAATTCCTTCTTCATGTCTTATGCAAATTGTTGTCAGGAACATTTCGTGTTTGTGAAGACTTTTCAACTCACCGTTTGTAGTGCCTTTCTAGTAGATCCTTGCGATGGAAACGTCTTTGACATACTGGGCATTCGAACTGGGGCTCTTGGTGGGAAGACTGATGTCGCCTATCAAGTGGTGAGCATACTATCTTCATCTGAAGTGTAAGTGCAGAAGTTTTACCTCAAATGCTCAGCTCGAGTGTATACCTTGTTTTGTTAGCAGGTGATCTACCTTTTGTATAGAACGGCGTACCTTTTGACATTCGGAACACACATGAACTGGCTTTCCCTTTTTCGCTTTTGAGACTTTGCCAGTTGGCGTGCTCTGAAAATCCTCGTAACTATCCATTGAAACTAGAGCGCTTGCAGAACGAACGAACTAAAACATGCAAAACACGAGGAGCAAAAAAGGACCGAATGCGGCTGCGATAAATTGCCACCAGATATCCGAACGCCAGCACATATTTAAAGGCCGATTTCCCATAGCTTCCGTAGCAGAGCTGACTTCTCCGGCGGGCTTCGTAAGTCCTGTCTAACATGAGCCACTCGATGAGTAGTCAGAACGAGGCTTGCTCCGTGGCGTGGACGAATCCCAACTCCTCAATCCGTCGATCACAAAAATAGACTCGGACTCTGCCCAATCGCCGTGTCGATGCGCCTCACAACCCCTGTGACGAATGCGGATTCTCAGCCTTGGGCAGGGGTTCGTGTGGGGGCTTGCTGACATCATCGCTTCGGGGGGCGCGGAAGAGATTCAAATGCCGGTGATGACGTGGAGTCCGAATATAACTGATTAGATAAGATAATGGCCTGAATTGGTTTGGAATCAAGTGATATTTTCTTTATTTTGAGGCACGAGGGACTTCGGCTCGCGTGGGATGGTGATGGAGGTGTCCGAGGATCCCGTGGAGGCTGGGTATATGGACATGTGCCAAGGTACGAAGAGTCACAACGTTTCACCGCCCCAAAGTCTGTACGACGGTTCGGACAATGCCAATTGACCGATCCTCAACGGAGCAGATAGGCTTATTAATCCTTTTCTATGGTTCTATCTCAGCTATGCAAAATTTCATTCTCTTTCAACTTCTGAAGTTCTCTTGGCTCTGTTGTAAGCTGGCAAAGCCCATTCCTTCACCCATCCGGATTCCAAAATTCGCTGCGCCTGAGGTCGATTCTCAGGCTTCCATGCAAGCATCCGTTTTAGTAAGTCCAACAGCGCGGCCGCCTCCTCTAAGTTGATGGTTTCCATACCCTCCGATTTCCTCGGCTCTTGCACCCATTGTTTGAAACGCCTGTCCCATGACCAGATATCCTGCTCGTTACTGAGTGCCTGACCTTTACTATCAAACCATTTTGAGCGCTTGTCCCATTTGTCCCACCATTCAGGCGGCGGAATTCCCTGCAGGTGAACTTGTTGCGCGGTGATGTCGTCCTGGGGAGCGATGATGCCATCAATGAGGGAGCGATGGGCAAATAACTCAAATATCAGACAGCTGAGGCTCCATATGTCTGATTCAAAGGTGAGAGGCTTTGTTGGCTCGAAATACGACTCAGGAGGGCGAACAACAAGGGGCGCATTGGACTCGAATTTTGTCTTATCTGCTGGCCGGAAGGCGACACCAAAGTCACTCAGTAAGAGTTTGGCATCGTATAGGGAGAGATCATCACTTGGTAAACCAAGCCAGACAGGGAGAACAGCATGAGAAGGTACGCCAGTTGGTAATGGTTCTGCAGACCCGTCTAGACGAACAATTGGTTCCAGTTTTGGGGCCCCGAACTTTGCATAAAGCTGGTCGATCGTCAAGTTGTTGAGCGAGGCTGGAAGTCGTAGCAATAGGTTTCCCAAGTGAAGATCTTGCAAGAGAGTTTAGCAAGTGGTTAGATGAAGGCATCAGAAACCAACCTCCATGGGCATAGCCGCGCGAGTGAACATGGGCCACAGCTTTTATAACTTGGACAGCCAGAGATCTGGCCACGTCTAGTTGAAACAAGCCTGACTCAGATGAATCTTTTGTATCTATGAGGCTACATCGTGCAGGTGTCGTGACAAGACATGGATGTGATCCGTTGGGCCCCTCAACAACGAAACTGTCAAGAACTCGCGGGATCATGGTTTCATCCATGTCTGCCATTGCGAGCCTCGAGAGAATATTGACTTCATCCTCATCCGCGTCTGCAGTTCCAACCTTCACTGCAACGTAGGTAGATGAATTTCGGTCGAGGGCAAGCCAGGCGGTTGAGAATGTACCATGCCCAAGTTTGTGCACTATCCGGTAATGATCATTATGCAAGGTATTGTTAATTTGAACAGAATGGTAGCCTCCAGGTCGATAATCTTCATGTACCTCAACTTCCTCGATGTATTTATATCTGATGCTTGGCGTAGACATAGCTTTTTGGTATGCGTTGGAGTAAGGGCGACGAGTCGCAGAGAACTGGGTATCAAATGAACGGAAGCGCGCCGTCAACATTCGTCGCGTGAAGGAAAAGAATGACAGGCGGAGCATGAGTGACATAACGTAAGTTCTGAAGATGGGTAAGAAGGTTGGAAGCTGAGGCCGACTTTGCTGTTACAGTCTGAGCCTTTAGACGACGCGTGGAGTTGGTTGTGTGTGTAAATATTGCTGAGTCCGTCGTTCATTAGCCTTGAGCATTGTGATGCGCTCGAGTTAAAAGAAGTGAGACACGGTTGCAAGTTTCTAAGTGATCTAGGAGTACTGACGAGCCTACGATTAGGGCCCCAGCTGATGCGCGGAAGATCTGAATGCGATAAGAGGCGCTCATTTCTGTTCCTGGGAGGCTAAAATTAAAGCCCCGTGAAATGTGATGGCATCGAAAGATGAAGTTGTGAGATAAACTTCACTTACTGCCAGTATGGATGTTTGTTAGGCGTTGGGGAATTGGCTAGTAACTTAGGTCACATGCCCCGAGGCCGCTATAACGCCCTGGGATTCTGCCCCACCTCCCTCTCTATCAACCGACAAAGGAAGGCAAAACCACTCACTTTGCTGAGCATAATTGTGTCATGCAAATATCGCAAAAATGAATCACGAACAGCAAAAGAGAAACTATCAGAGCTTCAAAGACGGTAATGCGTAATCAGGGAATCGAACCCTGGGCTCCCCGACGCTGCTCGAATGGCAACGGAGAATTTTACCACTAAACCAATTACGCTATTGGATGTTGTTGACGAACGAACTGCAATTGGAGCTCAGGCATCTACGGTGAGGATGACCATCGTATGCCATTCCGACAACCTCTCCAGAAAGTCGTTGTTGGTTGGTGGAATGGGTTGAATTAACAGAGGGAGTCTAGGTCCAAATTGAACAGTCGTCTTTCAATTTCGGAGGTGCGATTGCTCCGGTTTAGCTTCTACTCTCCGCTTCTCCAGGCTTCACTTCTCTGGAGATGACAAGCTCAACGACCACGAGGGGCCAGGTATTCATTGCCGTTCTCCTTGCAGCGCTTGACAAAATTACTGTGAAACACCTGGCACCATTGAAATAGGAAACTTGAGACATTGTTTATATGTCAACCTAGTCTCTCCAGCTCTAGGGAAGTAGCTCGCGAATGTCGAGTCAACTGAGTCTCAATCCGATGCCGAGTCCACGCACTGCAACCGTTCTAACAGGAGGCTACTTCGACAGGAAGGACACCAGGTCAATTCCAAATTCCCGCTTCACCGCCAGCCGAATCCATAGTAGCCAAGGCATCCACTTCGTCAAGCTCCTCGATGACTGGAAACACTTACACTATCACAGTACCCTCAGGAACGATGTCCTCTCCAGCGCACGGCTTGTCTACTACAACTATGGTCTCAGCACTTTCTTCGTCCTAGAATCCCCCGCCTTTTCAGCAGATAGATCTGAATTCCAGGGGACATAGTCGTCTTCTGCGCCAGAAGAAATGATCTCCAGGACAGCATCATCTGACGGGTCCGCTACATAGCAGAATAAGCCAGATAAGTTATCCGCGTCAAACGATATTTCGACGATAAGAAATAGATCAGAAATGTCAACTGAACCTGGGATTAGGACTTCTACGAACGATGTTCTACAAACTCTAACAACATGTAGTGGTATCAGTACACCAGTTCCTGGCTACTATGGAAACCTCTACAACTAACCCAACAACGATTCCAACCTTTGACGCCTGTGTCTCGGCCATAACCTCTCCAGATGGAGAGATCCCCCTAACCGTTCGTGAAGAACAAGGTTCAGACCTCCACGTTGTTACTGTAAGCCTAGCACTGGTGCAATTACAACTACCACCAACATGTTACCTGGCCCTAAACTTAGTGGCAGAAGTCCGTGAACGTCTCATTGTCCGGGGCATCATTTGCTGAAAATGTCATGCCAGTCACGAGAAACATTGCCCCCGGTGATGAGGACGACGAGGCTACTACCATCTTTCCGACTCAACCCCAGAATCTGCTACGTACTGTGATTCCGTGGATGAGCTTTTTGAAGCTTGTTATGGCCTTGGTGTGACCGTATTCACCTACTTTGTCGACATAGAGGGCGATGGAGATGGAGACTCAATCTGTCCTTAACTTTCTACGAAACAGATGTATGTTGGGTAGCATGGCACGAAACTGCGGTTACTGGGTCTCTCACAATGTTCATTGTCACTGAATTGAAGCTTATTCCATTACACTCAATGATTTTTTCGATGTCCAAAAGCTCCGCCTGTGACATAATGGGACAGATAAACATCCAAATGACCCCAACTGTCACAGCCTACCTCTGCGCCTTGACACGGCAGAGAACCCATCCAAGGTAGATTGGCTTCTTGCTGACAACACCATTCTCCGCAGTAAGATCCTTGGTGATAGGCACAGTACCATACTGATCCTTGTACATCTGGCATCTGATCTGGTCCATCTTGGGAGGTTTGACGCCCTTCACAGTAGAATATACGTTGACGAACTCCAGTTCTGTGAGCTTGTTGTTTTTCTGGTGGGTTAGAACACCGAGGGGAACGTTGAGGGGAAGAGTGCTGTCCTCTGGCTCGTTGACGGTGAGGATGGCGACGCCAACGTGAGGCTTTTCGGCAGGGATGGCGGTTACAGTGGTAGAGAGAGCGGCCAGGCCAGCGAGAAGAGCTGGGAAATGCATGATGAACGAAATTTGTTTTGGCGATGGTAATCTTTGATGATGGAGTTGCTTTGTTGTCTGATGCCTTAATTTACTTGGGAACAAGACAACCCTTTATACTTTATTCGATGCTATGTTTTGGCTAAACGAAAATTGCAGCATTAATGCATGTTCTGTCAGGCCACGTAACAATCGGCCAGTTCCCAATCCCTCCAGAGTAAGCAGCCCTCTGCCTTTGCTTCGAGACTCTCGTTACCATTACCCTTGTCGTTCTCCGCAACAGAGTGCCCTTGACAGAAACCCCGCTCAAAGTGGACACAGTTCAATACTGACAGAAACGAATAGCCTATACCAAGACACCCTTCCGGCCGCTACTACATTGGGGCAGACTGACACGAGCTTATTGATGTTAAGAACACATGTCCAAAGCTACAAATGAATCATGTAGTAATGGATCGCGTGACATAAAGTAAGCCGACATTGGTAGGAGACGCCCGAATGCGAGAATCCCCAGAGTGAGTAAGCTCAGTGGTTAGAGTTATTTATCCGGGACCCCGAACCAACCTGGTTGAGCTGATCTGGATGACTGCATGAGGCTATGCCCTGGCTGAAAATCCTATATCGTAATTCTCCAGAGTCAAGGTGTATGAAATCCACTCCGGCTGATCTGAGCCAATGCCCTGCGCCAATAAGCTTACGGTTCAAGTTCCTGTCTCGTAAACGGGGCAGCAATCGGATGTTTACGAAATTATTGGCTGCTTCTTTGAATGTTCACTGCACCCTTTTTTAAAGCCGCCTCTGTTTCCTCTTTTCGAATCCTCTGTGAACTGTCCGTCGCCTCATTGGTCCTCGCTTCTGATCACGTGTAAGCTCTCGACGAATCTTGATTGCAAGCGATGCCGATCACCACTCCACTTTGAACGTTGGGCGCGGAGAAATCCCAAGATGATCAGTTTCATATATCGCGCTCCTAAACTCCAGCCCAATATCTTGTTGATGACGGCACAACCCGTGGATTGCGAAACTGGTCATTAAAAAGCCCTGGTCTGGCACCAGGCTATCGAGTTTCAACCGGCCCGCATCGTGTTCTGGCAAGGCCGATCGTGTTTTCTAGAGCTTTCAGGCTTCGGATGAAGCCTTCAACTGGTTAGTCACCGTGCAGTATTGTGGTAATAGGAGACTGATAAGCGTAGTTGCTCGCCATGGTACAGCAAGTCGCTGTGGCATTATATGACCGGGGTGACTTCTCTCGTGGGGACAAGCGGCGAGTCTTTGGCTATGAGGCATATCACTGGGCCATCATCATCATGCCCGATGGTCACGAGGAGCGAGACTACCACGCCTTCTCTGCTACCGATGTATCCGAGATCAATCCAGTTACCTTTCGCATGCATAACCCTACCATGACTTGGTGGCTCCGAGCCGAGGAAAATGTCAAGCCAGATGAAAACGCCAAACCGCTTGGGTGTATCATCATCGGAGAAGTGCCAGAGGATGTCACGTTTCCTCAACTAGATGACCTGTTTCACTCTATATCCCTGCCGGTAAAGAACACGCATCCGCAGCAGAGCTGTGTGACTTGGATCGTGTATGCCGTACAGGCCCTCCAGGAGCAAGGTTGGGTAACGCAGTTTGATCTCGATGAGTTCAAAGACCGGGTCGTCTCTTACGCCGACGAGAGGATGGAAGGATCAAGCTCACAAGTCATATTGTATCAATCTTAGCAGTGTTTATATGTCTTTTTACGTTGCCAGTATACCCTCTCATTCCAGAATTCACCAGCTGGCTATCATGTAGCCCATTCTAGTGAGATATGAGACCTAATGCTATACAGCGGAGGATATCTAAGTCATGGTGTATGAGTCTCAGTTCTAAAATTGGCCCATTATTGGCAAAGCATTGACTCTTGCTGTGAATGAGGTTTTCATTAGCACTGAGTTGAGCACTCTTTGCTTGGCTTACAGCATTTGTAACTTCTTTGACATCATAAGAAGCACTGCCAGACTTTACCTCTCCACCATACAAAGAATATCCTCTGATCCCGACAATAGGTTGACGATTTGGTGGCCAGATACCTGTATTTGAGGTCTATCGTCGCAGACTAGCTATAATTATGGCCTTCGATATCAAAGACGGCTTTGAGTTCGCTGTATGATTGTGCTCTCTACGGAAGGCGTTGATTGAGTGATTAGGTAGACCGGCCTCTTGTTCGGTGACTACTCTGATACGGAACTTTGCATACTTATGAAGAAGGGGACAGGAAGATGAATGAGATTTCGATTGCACTTTTCGAAGCGGACATGCGACATGGGGTGCAAATGATAAATGGTCTGAGACTGGCCTGTCAACTCATCAGAAATGTAGCTGGAGATTGGGGCGATGAGAATGTTGACACCATATTCCAGAAAGGTCAAGCATTCCGTTTTGACCTTCAAGTCGCATTAGCGCAAGGCGAATTCGGGAATCTAATTGATTGGTTTATAGAGTACGCAAGGTCTTGGCTATCCTATAGCTTCGCTTCAGCTCGCAACTAGGCGTCGATCATTTCTTTTTCCGTGGTGAGAATTTCTAGACGAGATGGTCGCAGGAGCGGCTTTGAGGACATGGCAGATGTTTGAAGGAAGATGCTGGGCAGTACTACTAATTTCTGTTCAACCTTCACTAATGGTTGTTGGTCACACATTGTATCACTACCCAGAACTGTTTCATTGGGGAATTTTTGTGGCATTGACTTGTCTCTTATGAGTGGCCGCGAAATAGGTCCTGACTTTGCATACTGTCCCCCCTTCCACCGAACCACTCCCAACTGGGATCTGTCGCCAATTGAATTGCAATCGAGATAAACTACCCCTGGGACCAGTATCCTGTACCCTCAACTCGAGAAGCAGGGCTTACCGGAAGATCCAGAGGCCCCTTGATTGACGTGCCATCGTCAAACGTTAATGAAACCTCGTTGCGGCTTCCGATTATTCCGGTAATTTGCTGGGACCCCTCGAGGCTCTCAAGAGAGTTGTACTGCAGAGTCGCAGAGTTGCTTTCGAAGGGCGCAGTTGGTGGGCTGATGGTGCCTGAGAAGTGGTACAAACCGCCGTCGATGCTGAATGTAGCGTTGAATCTACCGGGCTGGCTGGATTTGATAAATCCCTGCGTAGAAGACATCTGTGACAGAGTTAGAGGCTTGCCGGTATTAATCAAAACATATAAGTGACTGACCTTGAATATGTAAATGAAAAGGCTAAGTAGGGAATGTTTGTAGGATATGGCTTGTTGTATATTGGACGAGGAAAGAAAAGCGGCTTTCAAGCAGGATGACCTCAATATAAATATTTCAAATCCAGAGAATTCCACCATTGCTCGCGCTGTTCATGTTGTAGAAGGAGGCCCAAATTTGCCGCTTCTACAATGCTCAAGAACTTCACCGCCGATCAGTGTCAAAGCGATGAGACAGAACACGTATCGCAGACTGTCCACTAGTTTCGCATCAGCTTTCAGCTACCGGCTGATCTTTCCTGTATCAAAGCAGATACTTTGAGGCCAGGTAATTGATCTGCACTGAAAGCAAGCTTTTTGAGGGGTTTGTTGAGGATGAGAGATCACCATTTCGGAAGACGTCCAATTGACAGTTGACGCTTCCAATAGCGCCCTGCATGTCTCAAGTCTCCTGTCGCTTGGCGCATGCTATAATATGCACGGTTGACGTCTTTACGCTGCGAGTAAGAAATTAGTAAAGGTGAAAATCAAGTTGCCAACTATCAATTGACGAATCGATGTGCCTCAATTCACTTTCAACTCTAGCTAGTGAGACAAGATATGCATTGCGTCATCAGAATCAAAGCACAGTTGCCATTTCGATCATAGATTGTTTTTCCAAGATAACACTAGTCATCAGTATTGGAAGTCCAAACTATCTCTGTGCAGCTACCAACTTTCGATCGGCCATGTAGCTGAAATCCTCAAGTACTCATTGCAAGGAAAAGCCTAGGAACGCCGATGATAGACGGAGCACGTGCATTCCTGATCGAAAGTGGTGGTTTGTGATCTCAGGCTGTGTTTTATTAAGTCTTTACGATCAAAGGCTCCCGTACATGATGTATCTATGAGCATACTTTCCAGCCTCGTATCCCTAGACCACCTGGTTGGATAACAAGGGTTTCACTAGAGAATGTAAGTGAGCTGTCACATTTTTTAGTGCAAAGTCAGCTTTGAGCTGGCTGGTGATCTTTTCCACATTCAAAAGAACCGGCAGGTCCGGATGCATAGCTAGGCAATAGCTTGCTCAGCGGTGTGCTTCATTCTGCTTCTCATTTAATCGGGGTCATGACAATTGGGCCACTGCATTTGACAGCTGTGCATAGAATGGCTACATAATACTGTCTGCATAAGCGCTGGCGACACGTTACAGAGGCGAGGTGGACTCATGACTATGAAGTGCATCGTCTTTCTGGGCGTGAATTCGGGGGCCATCGATCCTCCACGATTCCGCAGCTAGCATAATTCCTCCGGGTTGTGCAAACCGTCGTGGAATGTCCTTTGAGCTTCCCAGAAACTCAAAATGCAACGCAATGATAAAACTAATATATATAGCGACCAGACTATTCGAGGCTCGGCCAAACAATGAGTATGATGTTCAAGAGCCATGGTGTCTAAATCTCGTTCCAGCTTCAGATATTTCGGTTCTAGAGTTCTATGGAGGTTTATGACAGATTGGAGTCTTGTATAAGCATGTGTAGGTTCGAATTCTGCGTTGATCGTGTTCTTTTGTTACTCACTCTAGTCGATGGACAAACTGAGTCTGTTTTGCCTTTGTAACCTTGGCGATTTTACGTGCGCGAGTATGTGCTGAGCATTTGGTCGAATCCGTCAGCGAATGACAAAAGGTGGAGGTTTGTTGATTCAACGTTGGGAGAGAATACAGGCTCTTCAGTGCACCTGGTCGTAGCTGCTCCCCTATCGACCGCACCGATTACTGGTGCTAAAGCGCTGTAGTGCACGCGACATCACGTTACACAGGGAATGTATTTCTTTTTCTTGTGCAGCATGGTTGCAGTTGCGTTACACTACTGAGCTTGAAGGTCCTCGAACAGTATGGGATGTTGTATTTTCCAATATCTGGTCGCCAGTCCATGAACAAGATTTATGAGGGCCAGGTTCAAGCTCTAGCTTCAATTGGCATGCAATTCACCAACAGTCGGCGCTCGCCTGGATCGCCAATGTCATGAGAATATCATGAGTACTAATTACTATACTGGGTGACTAAGCTTCTTGTATTAGGAAGCGATACTCTCAGATTGATAGTCGTCGTAGACTATTCTCCGCCCACCATCCAACGTCTGTAATCGGGTCCCAAGGCAGCCTCATGGGGCCAGCATTTAGGGCAATGCAACCTTAACTCGCCCATCAACATATCATGCGATAGCTGTACAAGTTGCCTCAGCTGGCGCAAAAAGCCATCATCCTCAAACATACCGCCAGTGAAGAGATCCAGTTCTATCTGAACCTTCTCGCTTATCCAATGCCTCCGTTGCCATTGAGTCTTGTAGATAAGTCGCTGGTTCTCTGCTTCGTCTAAAGGCACTATGTAGTCAAAGGTAGAGCAGGGCCAATCGAACAGAGTTATGCGGAATTCGATACGGCCATCGTGAGTGTTTCTTACTTCCATATGTTCCCCTCCCAGTCATTTGGAAATTGGGGGGATGCGGAGCGGTTAGGCCTCCACTCACCGGGGTTGTACGGAGGATGCTCCATTATTGGTGAGTTATTTTGACGGAGACTTATGTGGAATGCAGGGAGTTGTGGTGAGCTCTTTGGCCAGTGGAATATAGTCGGTGCAAAATATTTACTGGAAGAACATGCTCGCCCCTGTTCGCCTTTTATAGTTTGGTCCATGCCGTGATGCCCTGTTGGATGCGCTTTTGCATCAGCTTTCGTTCAATGCTGTCTGCTGAATCCATCAGTCAGAGTAAACCATGCGTCACCCATTGCATCGCCCTGATGAGAGGCATTGGGCCATTCATTCACAGTAGGTCACTTCAACATTGAATAAAAGGTTCAAACATAGGCGCCCTCTATGGGGCTAATGACTATTGATGAGGTAGATGTTGCCCATCAGGATAAGGGGTCTCTAAGGGCATCTAACAACCGGTTTCAAATCAATGATGCTTCTGGTTCACGGTGCGCATACAGATGGATGTAGTAAGGTAGGTGTGATTGATGATGACTTTATTGTGACTAACTGACGAAGGGCCATTAAGATGTTACGATTCATTTTGATAAATGACATAATCCATTATCACAGTACAGCTGTTCTAAATGAATCGCCAGCCAGGCCACGCTCTAGTAAGCGTATCGGGTAGCGCCTGTGTTTCCTTCCCGATCAAGCTTCTTGTTAGTCTTGACAAGCCAGATCTTCATAGCCCAAACGCCGATAATACACAAAGTCGCAAATCCAGCATTGCTTGCCATTCCAATCAGATATCGCGGTCCATCTGACTTAGGGTACAGGTACGCAGTGTAGATGTACGAAGCGTTGGCGATCACGTTGACAATCGACAAGCTGACCGACTTCTTCTCCGCCGTTGATCCAAGCGTTGCGGAAACCCAGCCAAGAATCATTGAGTTGACTGCATATGCGCCACTGGCGAACAGGAAACAAGCAATGTATCGAGCAGGTGTATTGAGCGTAACACAGGAGATGATGTATCCGACGAGTGCCATTCCCATACAGGCAGTGATATGCCAAGTTCGCTCGTTGAATCGGCCTGAAGACCATCCTGCGAGGTATCCAAAGAAACCAGAGACAAGGTAAGGTGGGCAAGTCAGAACCAGAGTGATGGTGCTGTTGAAGCCGAGGGAGCCGACGACAGTAGGGAAGAAGTTGTTGAAAGAACAAGCAGAAAGATGCATGTTCTGGATAAAGCAGAAGAGCCACAGGCGAGGGTCGCGGATGGCTTGGAAAAATCCAGCTCGAGCTCCTTTGCTCTCTTCCAGACCGACAGTATCGCGTATCATTCGATCGTGGGCAAGTTGTCGTTCTTCTTCGGTCAACCATCGAGTCGTCAAGGGACTGTCAGCCAGAGTAAAGATGCCGACGATGCCGACTGCAAAGGTCAAGACACCTTCAATGATGAAGAGCCACTGCCAGCCTTTGAGTCCGTGATGTCCATCGATTGTTCCGAAAGTGGCCGCCGCGATCAAACCAGAGAAGGACGTCGCGAAGATGTTGCCTGAATATAAGATCGACAGTCGCATAGCAATCTCCTTTCGTGTATAGAAGATTGCCAGTAGGTAAAGGGCTCCTGGATAAAAGGGGGCTTCGGCGACACCGAGGAAGAATCGAACGATGACGAGGCCTTTGTAGTCTTTGACGAGGGCGGTGCAGGCTGACACGATGGCCCAGCCCATCATGCAGATGGACATGTACAGCGAGGGACGGACGCGTTTCGAGGAGATGAGCATGTTGGATGGAATTTGCATGAGCAAGTAGCTTATCACAGGTTAGCGTCTTCGCAACAAAAGAAGAAGGTATTCATCATACCCGACAAACAGGATTGAGATACACGTGTTGTACTGCGTTCCCTTGAGGCCAAGATGGTCTTCGAGACCATTCAAGCGCGCCTGGGCAATAGCATTTCGATCAAGCTACCAATGTCAGCACAGTCTACCAACAGCCAGGACTAAACTCACGTAGTTGAGGAAGTACATCGCCCAAAGAGTAGGCATGATGCGAAAGTCCAGCTTGCGAACAAGACGAATCTCAGCTGGATCCGTCTTCTTCACCGCACCAGAGTAATCCGCCTCTGGATCAACAAGGACACCAGGCTTCTCAGCTCCATCAGCAACAGACATTTCGACAAAATTGTCTTCAGGCTTTTGCTCGATGCTTCCACGCTTGGAATAGGCAGTCATGATGATTTTTAAGAAGTTGTAGAGGTGAGTTGAGTCTGGGGAGGCCAAGATTGAAGCGAGTGGTCTGGCATGTTATATATCTGAGTCTCGTGCCAGTAGGAGAACTTCTCCACGGGTGAGTTTCCTGGGGCCCCGGATTCCCCCAGATCAACATTTGCTAGATCCAGTCCAGACCTCGACGCCTCATACTCTCGTGGTTTAGTGGCGGAGGAATAAAAGACCGCGGTTGGAGTGCGGGGGAGCAACATGGCTGTTGAAGGTGCATGTTGGTGATGGGGTTGGGACGCTTGCAATTACTTGATTTAGTTAAAAGGCTTTGGAGAACCTCCGTTGGGGTCTTCGGATTGAAGAGTGAGCCTTCATGTAAGATGCTATTGCCAAGCTCATGATATGACATGGGCTTGCAATTGAGTGCCACGAAGCCTCATCATGCCTCCTTCAACGTCCCCTTCATTACGGTATATAGCGCTGTCACCCGAGCCTTTCCGCCATTGTCTCGGCATGCACGCGGTCAACAGCCTATGTACTTTGAGTTCTCGTCTTTGAGACTGCCTGCTGATGTTTCTATTTGGGCTTGAATATTGCCATGATGCGACTAACGATACTGGGATACTTGTTACGATTATCAATCGATATTTGTTGACAGTGTTGGAGGGTATGGAATTGACCAATGATTGCCATGGGGTGACCTGACCTGACGGAGGAACAAATGTCCACGGAGGTTTCATCGTCCGCTCTTCGAAAAACGACTCTCGTGATAGTAGTTGCCAACAGAATTTACTGGCTACTCTCGCAAGGATGATGGGGTTTGTGTATTGAAGCAATTAATATTTAACCGAACGGTTTATTTTGCTACAGTGCTGAGTATGGGTTGTGATTTGTCCCAAACTCGCACGTTACAGTGCATTGTCGTACTTGTGTAAAAGGAATGGCTGAAGTCAAAGAAAACACTACCTATCTAGCATCTATTCTCTTTGGAGATATAAGGTCTGGGTCTCGGCACTCTTCTTCTTGTTTCTTTCCAATTCATTGCATCTGTTCATAAATGTCATTGGTTTTGATGTTTCCATAGAAGGTCAAATATCTATGTAATTACCCTATGCTCATTGAGAAGGGTCCGTGCGATCGCCTCCCCCTGGCTTATTGCAGAGTACTTTATTCACCACCTATACTTCTCGTGAGTCGAAGTCACTTCGTTAGAAGACTAACACCGGGACTCGCAATGAGTTTGAGTAACTGTTGCAGCAATGAACAAATTCATTTTTTGGGCGGCCGGGTCTTGCAGCACTAAACAGCAGAGATTATTCGCGACCTATTAATCTGAAACTGGTTTACTCAATTGCATCCTTCTAGTAGGTCTTATTCTTTGATTATTTGCTGAGATTTTTCTCTGAATTGAATACCCAGCATTCGCTGCCAAACTTCAAGCCTCATATCCAAGGCATGAGTTTCTCCGCGTCAAGACGTATCTTTTCCTACCAAGGCAAAGTAACCATCCTAGAGGATAGACTTCATCAACATGAGTTGGGCCCCCGACTCCCCAGTCGAATTACCTGATGGTCGTTTGGTCTGTGGGAATCATGGCTTGGTCGTTTGCGGAAGCTGCTGTGTCGACTACAGCTTTATGGATGACGTCCTTGACGATGACGCAATCGAAGGGCGAGTGAGACGTCCAGAAGAATATGAAGACGATCTCGACCGCGCTGGCGCTCTAGATATTGAGAAACTGGACCCCATCCGCCACATGGAAATATCTTGAGGCAGTGAATCAGTCTTACCAACAGTTTTTGTACCGCCCCCTTCAGCAACTCCGCAAAGTCTGTTCCCTGCAGGCATTGGACGCAAAGCTCACCCACCTGTGACACGATTTATTCGAGCGGACGACCCAGAGTCTCTTCTTATCTACACCGACGGTGCATGCCTCGGCAATGGACAAGTTGAGCCCAAGGGAGGATGGGCATTTGTTTTTGGACCTCAAGAACTAAACACCACTGCGAGTATAAACGAACGTCTGGAAAACCAGGGTCCATTGGGCGATTATGCTAACCCAACCAGCAACAGAGCAGAGCTTCGAGCTATCATCGGCGCCCTTCGTTACAAGAACTGGGCGAGCGAAGGATTCACCACTCTTGTCCTGGCGACTGATTCAGAATATGTCGTCAAAGGTGCAACAGAGTGGATCCGAGCATGGCTGAGGAGGGGATGGAGGAAAAGCGACGGAGCGGTTGTAAGCAATGTGGATATGTGGCAGGTATTTCTTGGGGAGGTAGAGCGCTGACATGAGTATGCTGTCAAGATTCAGCTTTGGAAGATTTCGCGAGAGTGGAATACTGAAGCGGATCGGTTGGCGAAGGAGCGTGCACAGCTTGATGAGGAGCTTACCTATAAAGAAAGGCTGGGTATCGTCCCATGATGAGAAAGGCACAAGCTTATGGGCGAGCGGCAAAAAGCGGAACATGGTAGCATGATCTGCCGAAGAAAATGGGGTCCTGGTCACGAGGAAACATTTCTCGCCGGCTTCTAGCTTATTCGTCTAGAAGGATTATTGGCCCTACGTTTCAGGTGCAAGCTGAATGTGCAATAAGCTTTAGCTATTGTATTAAGTCGCAGTGTGAAATTAACCTTACATAACGGTATTGCTCTGCTGAAAAGCAATTCTGCTCAGCTTGACTCGCGCTACTGAATTTGAGGTCCGTGATTGCACATTAGCGCAACGCCCATTCGCCATGTAAGCTATCTGAATGGTGGCAAGCCACAGGGGGAAGATGATGCGGAATTGCTTGCTCCAAGATCAGAGGCCTGTCAAATTCGGTTCCGCGACTCTATTGCCCACTCCAGTCAAGCATCCCTATTAGAGTTGACGCAGATGCATTTGGTGGAAATGAGACTTTTCTCTGGGGAACACGATGAGACCATAAAGAGATAAATAAAGACCGAGACTGTCCATTACGCAGTCAGGCTCGTTCTTTTTTGACCTCCAACTTCACTCTTTTCTTGTCTTCTTCAGTCACTCATTTAGTTGCTCAAAATCACTGGTCTTCACCATGGTCGCCACCCGTTTCCTCATGCTTTCTATGGCCGCTGCCGTTGCTGTAGCTGGACCTTGCAAGCCCCAGAGTTCTTCAGTCGTTTTCTCCGAAACAACCCTTACCACCGCGCTCCTCGAGACGACTTCCACCGCAGTACCCAATGAGACCTCGACGTCCGAGCCAACAAGCACAATCGTTGAATCATCGGTAACCTCTGCGGCCGAAACGACAGAGACCACTGCCGTGACAACTTTCACATCGGCTGAGACTACCACTGAGGCAGCCACCACGACTACAGAGGCTGCGACACCTCACCAGGATATCACTTGTCCTGCTGCACACGGCCAGTGCGTTGGCGATTTCAAGATCGAATGCGGTTACATCATGACTGGCGGTTTCAGTGTCGAAACGGGTTTCACATCGACTCTGGACGACTGTGCTGCTGCGTGTAACGGCGACTCCGGTTGTGCTGGCTTTTCTCATAATGGCGTCAGTTGCTACTTGGTCTCGTCTCTGTATTCGACTGCACCCGCAGACTGGGTGACGGGTAAGAAGTCGGGTTGTGCTCAGTAGATGGAAGGGTGCAATCAATCAGTCGTGCCGTCACAAAATCGCATTACCAAGGTGTCACCAAGGCAATTGAATAATGGATCCTCATCATTACCTTTCATGTATATAGTCTTGCAAACTCCTATAACCATAACCACTACATTATTATGGTCAATTCTTAGACCGTTTCTCTGTATTCAACCTCGATCATAATGTTGGGACAGTTCGTTCCCAGCCATACCATTCAACGAGACTCGCAGTAAGCGCAGGGATGTTGTGGAACCAAGTTCGCAGCCCCATTGGAGATGGCCTGATTCTGGCAAAGAGGATCTAAAGAAATAAGAAGGACTGCTGGCGCAGGAGCTCAATACCTCTATCAAGCGATGTAATGTGAGCAGTCATAGCAATAACTGTGCATTAATCTTCTGTAGGCCCCTTATTTTTGAATGATTCCGTGGGCTTGTCATTGTGATGCAAGGACAGGCTTGTCTGAGAGATCCTTACCGCCATTTTCGAAATGCGATAGCAGCATAGGCAATTTTTTGTTGAGACTTCCACTGTAAAGCCATTTTGCTACGAAACTTGAACAGAGGTCTGCTCTCGAGGTTGAACCATGATTAACAGCTGACGTTTGAGTTGGCATATCACATTGGTGTTTACTGCTTGTTGGCAAAGCTTAGGTAGTAAGATGTCTAGGCCATCTGCAGCCTTTGTATAGATAAGGCTTGATGAGTTGACCAATAGTCTATGTATGGTGCGTTCTATTTTTATCTTCAAGTGCCTAAGGGATATGCCTAACAAAAAAGACCAATTACATTTCCGGGGTCGGGGTGAATGAGGCGTCTCTAAACGTTCTTGATTGGCTCCGTTCTGTAAGGCAACTGGTTCGCTGACTGCCTCACCTCGCACCCCAAAACCAACCCCGCTGCACCCCAAAAGGCACCTCAAACTCATTAACCTCGATCTCACCCCCAACATCCAGTCTTTCAAAAGAGTCGATCTTGCCTCAGCGAACTAGCCTTACAGCACGAGCCTTTCTTATCTCGTCACTTTTTTTCGTTTACTATACTTCTGGCAGAGCTACCCACCATCCCCCATGGCCAATCCTCAGCTTGGCCATCATCAAGGTAACGAAGAGGAGCTAGAATGTCTACGCCAAAGTCAGTCACAGAGAGCACAGCCACTCTCAAGGCGCTACCTCTGGTCTGAGACAGACAAAGTAGAGACCAGTGACTCGAGAGTTGGTACGCCCGTGGCTGACTCGGACAATCATCGAAAAATACAGCACAGGCCTCGCAAAGCATACGTGAGAGACGACATGAGCATCTGTAGGTTGCCAGAGCAGGCAGTGAACTCAAAGTATGATATTCCTCCCAGGCGTTGCCGAGAAAGATCTCCTGCGCCGGTACCACCAAGCAAATGTGCCAACGATAGCCCATCAATGGCCCCAAAGCCCCTTGCAAAAGACACAGCCGAAAGCGATTCCCTTCCAAACCCACCCTCTGGGAGCGAGTCAACGATGATGCAGCAACCAGAGACTCGGCCTATCAGCCAGGAGCAGCTCGTCGCTGAGGTCGAAGGTATTTATGCCGGCCTTGTTATGGTCGAAACAAATTGTATCGAATTCGAAAGGGCTGCATCTGCCATCTCAGACTTTGAGAGCGCATGGGAGCAGGCTTTCTTTGAGCTTCACAGTATTCGATATCCCGAGTCATTGGATGATTTCATCGTTCATTTGAACACCTCTTCTGTCGAGACATCACAGTATCACGACCTTGAAGCGCTCCTTTCCGAAGTGTCTTTACGCTCACGGAGTTTCTGCCGCCTTAACAGTCGATTGCTGCCACTTTTGCAAGCTAGAAAGGGTACGCCTTCAAGTGCACGGTTCGTCGAATTTATGACGTTAACTAAAGCTCTCTCCGACATACTCAGCAAATACAGTTCGCTGCTAGATTTCACAGACACAATTCTTTCAGGGCTGTTTGATTTGATCACGTCGATTATCAGAAGGTTGAATTTGAGATTCAGATCCGCCTATGAGGAACTGAAATGCAGGAACCGCCCAACTCAGATAATATTTGAGTTTCCCAATAATATGCGGCACGTCTGTACGACGATGCCCTGGACTATTTTGTCTGCATTGCTGGTACTATGGGGTGTTTGCTGGATGTTCATCATCGGTCCTGGTGATCTTGAGCCCGAGAAGTTCAAAGCTCCTGCCCCGACGTTCTCGCCAGCTCCAGCTGCCTATGACTTCCTTGAGAATTCTGGCGCAGCTTACTACGAACGTAAGAATCCTTGATATTGCTTCACTAGACACTTCTAACGATTGGCAGTTGGCCTGCCGAGCGTTCTTATGCCTGAACCTAGTAGTACAGGCTTTGATCAGCACCCTACTATCGACAGCCTCCTATTCACTGATGATGGCGCCGGCATTGATCCGATTTACTTAGTCCAACATGCTCCTCAAGATCCAGACTTCTTGTCCTTCGACGTCTTACCGAGGAACAGTGCAGGCATCGTGGAAACGTCCGCGAAGGAAGACCTCACTAGAGAGCTACCAGCTGCTGTCACCCCAGATCCAATACTACAGACCTACGGAGACGCGAACCGCCAAGATCCATTCAACCAAATGGTTAATATTGCATTGGTTGGTCAGGTTGTTCAAAATACTAGGTACGTAACGAAAGACCTACGCAGCGTCACATCAAGTAACAAACTCAAATACAAGCAGTGACCAGAAGAGCATATCTTACTTTGCATGCCCGAAATGCCAGCAGAGATTTGCAAATTCCTTTACCCTCAACCGACATCAGACAGAAGCGCACAAGGATGCAGCATCCAGCCCTGAAGAGTCATTTCCATGCCCGAACAGAGGCTGCAAGAGGTCCGCAAAAGGGTCCCCCTTCAAACGTCTTTACAACCTGAATAGACATCTTCAAGTTTGTAAACACAATCCAAATGTTGTAACTTCATCGGCCGAGTCGGACGTGACGGAAGAACGACCATTGTCTCATTCAATTTCAACACCAGCCTTACCTGATGCGCTACAACCAGCGGAACCACCATCAGAGGGTTCATCAGGGGACAGCAGCGTCAGGAAAAGATCGAGGCCAGAAAAGGATAATGACTGGAGTGAAGAGTCACTGCTGAGAGAAATGAAAAAGAAGTTAAAGCGAATGGCTCAAGAGGTCAAAGAGAAGGAAGATGCATATCTGCAGGCTCGGGAGGGGCTGGAGTCTATCCAAAAGACCATCCAAGTCATGGAGGACTCGCTCCGAAAGTCCTAGTCGGCGTTTGACTCATCGCTCCGAGAAGGTCAGGCTTGAATATCGATAGGATAGCAAATCAGATCAGATGAATTGTTTTTGTAAAGGATATCTACATCCGCAACACTCACTATACTAGACTAGGTAAAATCTTACGCATATCTAAACGCTGAATATTCCCTCATTCGACATTCGACATGTCAGGCGATGGATCGACATGCCGGTCTTGCATCTTGAACGTGGGATTGCCGCTGTCTATATCTTAATTGACCCCTGTCTGACAGAGAACTTCAGACTGGCCTCCACTAGATCCCAACCATCTACCACTAATCTGAGTCTCAAATATTTTGTCGACTGCTAGGCTGAGAAAAGTCGTGGATCCCGCTTATCCACATGGCAGGCGAGGATTGCAGAAATGTGATATATCATTGCGGTCCAGTGGCCAAAATGAGCTTGCCTCGGCGTTACGACTGGGTACGTCAACGCTACTGCAACAAATAACTTGGCAGGCAAATGCCGAATTTCTGATGATGCAAGTTCGGCACGAAGCAAGGTGAACCCAACAA